AGTTACATGTTTATTTCTTCTATGAGCCTCGATCCAGGTACTCTAAATGAGGGCTTAGAAATACACATCCCATGCAGAAACACAGCCACCAACTCCAGGACAATAGAGAAATATTGGTGCTCTCTTGGAAATGGTGCTCTCTTTCCCACTGGTGCCTATTCTACTATCTGGGCCATGTTCAGATAGTCTGGCTGCCAACAGTCAATCACTGGCCTCAGGCCAGAAAACAATAATCTTTCAGATACTTTCCAAAATGCCAAGTCCAATGGAGTAGGCATTATGTCTCATTAGACATAAATTTTGTTTATTTCACGGGAAATAAATAATTAGGAAAATATACATGAGTGTGGCAAGGCTACCTAATAGTCCTAAAAGTGAGTGGTGTTGTCAACATGGTCTCTGTCTCTTGGAGGATAACATGAACCTATAGGAATTCTTCATGGCCTATTGCTTCCAGTAAGACAGTGGAATTTGGTGGGTTTTCTTATCTTTGAAAGAAGAGAGCAATGAAAATCAGGAGGGAAGCAGAATCATGCTGTAGTTGATTGTAGTCTGATAGATGTTCAGCAAATTGCATGTGAGTAAAAAGGATTGTTTCATTTTCCCTTTAAATCACTTCCACTTGAAATTCAAAATTGTCTGCAATGCTAGAATCAAATCCTGGAGGTCATGCTTTTGTGAATCTTAAGGGAAAAAGATGAATGAAACTGATGCTAGCCTCTCTGTAGGGACACTGGCCACACCTTCCACTGATACACCACTTATTTCTCTGGTTTTCTCCTCCTGTGGTGATGGAATGTAATATAATGATGTGATACTCAGGTAGGGGAGTGAGAATTTCAAACTATGTCTCCAGTCCTAAAAGTTTTGATGAGGAGTAATGACCCTACATAACTGCCATTCTTTTGCCCGGCTCTACCTCTACACTCTTAAGTTTTGGTGATAAGAAAGACTAACCCATATGGTCTTTAAGTGCTGTTTCACATGATTACTGTACACTTCTGAGACTTGTATCTAGGCCCAGAGTCAAGAGAAATTACAGAACAAAAATGAGCAATCCAAAGCAAAACCTGACTTCCCCGACCTGCATCCACAACACACAGCACCAATGAGATCCCCCAGAGGAAACCAATTTCTTGCTCAACCCTCAGGTCTTTGGAAAGCCTTTCAATGGGATCAGGGAATTAGAAAGTAGATTTGTTATATTATGAGATTCACTGAGGGATGGGGGAAATTAGGTTTCTGATCAAAAAAAAAAACAGTGTTTGAGACCCTAGAGAAGGAAACCAGAGTGTAAGAGCAGGACCTGTTTCCAATTCCTCCTCTCCTTGGCCTAGCATTCATTATAAGAAATGTCAGCATTCAGGGCTCCATCCCTACATCAAGCTATTTTCTTCTTGGAGAGCCCTCTCAATAAATAAGAGTTAAGATTTGCACTGAAGACACCCACATCAGTCACCTGTCATCCTCCTGTGCCCGGGGTCAACCCTGTCCCTACATCTTTCGGATGGGAAATTCATGCTCATTTTCCTGTCCAACCATTCAACTATTATTAGCCTCAGAGGGAGCTGATACTGTGCACTTGGCCACTGGTCTTATCGATAGCAGCTTTGCAGTTCTGTGAGCTGCAGAGACTCTAGGGCAAAGCACCAGGTAGGGGAAGCAGGCACAGATGCGCAAGTGTTCAAGCCCAGGACCCAGGGCCAGCCACGGGCAGGTTCCCTGTCAGTCAATGTCACAATGTGCTCCTGGAACACCCAAAAGATGTTTTTTGGAGCTGGCACCAAACTCTTCGTGGAATCCCTTGAGTTGACTTTTTCTCTATATCTATGTATGGATAATTTAAGTTCTGGGAATGGGGTTGCTATGCAGTTTACATTCCAAATTGTAACTAAAAATTGACTTACAATTAGGAGATGGAGAAATATAATGTAAAGTGGACCAGAGTGAAGACAGAGTCACTAAAGCAATTATTACTTTCATTTTAAAATATATAAAAATTAAAACTACAGTCCCTGTGTATTTGTGAAATTTCAAGAGAAACCCCAAAAGCCCAAGAAATCTAATAGAATCACAAGAGTAGCTGGAGTAGTCAAATGCAAAGACATTTTTCAGGACACTTGGGCCCCAGTTCCCCAGAAACTTGCCTGATCCTTATACAGCCCTGGTTAAGCTGATCAGTGTAGGTGCCTCCTGGCCACCTGCAATGTCCTGCAGCTTGGAAGAATCTAAAGAGAGAAAGTTAGCATGATCATAGTAACCAGGTAGAGCAGACTGTCAGGGTTTAACTTAAATCTCACATTGGCACAGAATCTTAAAATTCTGTGTGACATTTATTATAGATGCAGCAATTCTTAAGGTGCCGGTAGGATTTTCTATCTGAATCTAAAATAGGTGATATCCAAGTTCATAACTTAAGAAAGACTGATCAGGAAAGATACAGCAAATTGCTTTGTATTTTTTGCATGCATATAATCTTAACATACTAGTATTCATAAAAAAGAAAAAATTCAGAAATAAAATACATATCCAAACAAATATGTTTAAAACATATATTAAAATTTAATTATGTTCATAGAACAAGAAGACACTATTCTCAAAAGACAAACAATTAAGTTCTTCATTTAAATCTAGTCAAAGATTTAAATTTGTTTTAAATTTTATCCAACTTTAAATTTGGGTTTAAGTCAAATGTGAAATATTTTAAATGTAAAATATTTAAGTCAAATATGTAAAATAGACTTTGATATATATGTCAACCACACTGTGTGTATTACTTTTGTGAAAAAGTAAAAAGGAAAATTTATTTCAATCAAATAGCCTTTTCTTTGGTTACAATGATGCCAAAGAATAGATTAAATAAAATACTTTTCTTTCAATTGTTTTGAAGTTAGACATTAATTTAAAAACAGGGTCTAAGAAAAGTGTTTTATGAAATTAATACATTATGCTTTTTTTGAAGCACTGACTAATCAATTCTGAGTTCAGTATAAGTGCCTGAACTTCTTCAAGTGTCTGTCTTTTCGACTATGTCACATTGTTCAAATTATTCAAAACCAGTTTCCCCAGCCCAAAGAGATCACTGGCAACTGCCTGATGACCCTAGCAATCCCTAATTGTCCAACTAAATCAGACTAGTCTTGGTCTCAAATACCTTAAATATTTTTCTCTTTAAGTATCCAAGGAGATGGGACTTAGGTTTTTCGGTTGTTATTAAGTTTGGTTTTTGTGATCTTTGTTGTCATTGTTGTTTTTTAATAGACAGATTTCTTTGCTAACTCCTACTGCCCTGGATATCAGCCCTAATCCATCTGAAGCCAAGCGAGGGTGAGAGGCAGCACAGCTAAGAGGGGAGAGCAAGCAAGGGTGTGGTTTCGCCGTTAAGGCCAAGATTATCAGTTGCAGCTCTCAGTGCCTTCAACTATGCAGGAAAACAAAACAGCTAAGGTTTTCTCACACAGGAGAAAGCAGGTTCCAGGAAAACCCTTTAGAAAAGGAAAACAGAAAAGTCCCCCTCTCATCTAGCACTAAAGCCAAAACAAGGGACCCAATTCTGGGTAATGGTTTTCCTGCCAAGTGACTGGGACAGAAACCCATCTTTTACCTGAGCATCTTAGGGAAGAAAAGAAATGAAGACCTATGCTGGTAGTGATGAGGGACCTTCTCTGAATGTCTCACTCCCTAGGAGAGTCCTGTCAGACATGGCCCTTGTACCAAGTGCTGACCAGGAGGAGCTCCTTCGGGAAAAATCATTCCCTCCCAACCAGCTCTAACCAGCTGAGCTGGTCATAGCTCCATTGCCAGGAGCTGCACAGCCAAACCTGTAACCCAATCACAGGGCAAAGCCTTGGAAATGTCCTTTCTTTTCTGTTTGCACATTCATCACCAAACTTCCTGCTTAGTGGCATCTAATGTCTGGCTAGTAGACCATCAAAGATGAAGTCTGCTCAAATTCTGCATATTTTTCACTTCACACAAAGAAGCCAAAATCTCCACAGTTATAAATATGAAGAGCCGTGCTCGCAGGTGCAATTAAGATGGAAAATCAAGAATGCAGCCTAAGACTGGAAACATATCCAGACCACTATCCACAGGTCGATTGTCTCTCCTGGTTCAGACACAAGCAAGGCTCTTTCTTTAGCAATCATTTGAAGATAGTCTGAGAATCCAGGTCTCCATGGACACAAAATTTATCACAATTCAGAAACTTCAATAAAGCACAGTGTGAAAAAATCATTACTACCTTTCTCAAAGCTGCATGATTTTCAGTTGTAAGGAGAAAGAAAGATGCATACAAAGTAGCAGGCAGATAATAGTTCAAGGTAAGGCATGAAAGAAGAGAAAGCTGAGGGGGCTCAATTACTAGGACCAACATTCCACAACTCCTCTTAGAGTAAAATAGGGGGAAAAAATAGGTTTAAACTGGTTTTATATCTAAAAGTACTTTCTAGGGATGATGGTTGTTTCCTTTGATTAAAGACTCAAGGGAAATTGTACGATAGCCCAGCTCTGTGAAAGAATATTCACCTAATGACAAGGTGATATACTGCTTAGCTCAGCCAGTCCTTCTGTCCATGAATGAGGATAACACCGCAGTGGCTGCAGCACGGCCACCCCGGAGCCCACCCTGGAGCCTTTGAATGGATTTTGCAGAACTTTTCTTATGCTTAGTTTTTTAACTGGCATAACGCACAGCATGAGCAGCTACCCTAGTCCAGAAGCTTTTTTGTAGTTGTTATATTCTGCCTCTGCTTGCATCACTATCTCTTTGTACCTTCTAAACCTAAAAGTCAAATTAAATGTCCTTCATTTCTGCTCACCTTGGGAATGGCTGTTATTTTATGGAGGTGCTAACAAGCCCAGGCCACTAACAAGATACCAGGAGTTCTAGACTGTAGTGTTTCATCCTTTGTTTGGCCCAAAAAAGTTGAGATAATCACCACTGTTAAACTCTTACAAAGCTATAATCATCTCATGAAATAATTTAATTATATTTGCAGGAATTCAGCCTGTTTCCAGGCCATCAGTTTTTGTCATGAAAAATGGAACAAATGTTGCTTGTCTGGTGAAGGATTTCTATCCCAAGAATGTAAACATAAGTCTCAGATCATCCAAGAAGGTAGTAGAATTTGACCCTGCTGTCGTGATCACTCCAAGTGGGAAGTACAGTGCTGTCAAGCTTGGTCGGTATGAAGATCCAAACTCAGTAACCTGTTCAGTGCAATTCAATAATGAAACCGTGAGCTCCGCTGACTTTGAGGTGAAGACCACTTCATCTGGTAGGTATCTGACTTCAGGGACTGGACACTATGCGGAAGGAAATTTGAGAGGAAATTGTATAAACATGGACTCTGGGTAGATCATTCACAATTTAGCATCATTCTGGAAAAAGTAACTTAGGGTCCTCATTAATTACTAAGAAGCAAATGGTCTTTGCCCCAATGGGATCTAAAATAAAGCCCATTTCATTCCATGCCCTTCTGTCCCCTTCACCAGCCATTGTCTCTTTTAATAAATGATCATCCAGCTAGAAGGATCTGGCATTCAAAATTCAGGTGCAGTCTAGTCCAAAAGAAAGAAGAGCTCAGCCAAGGATGGGATTAAGAATCTTAGTTCTGAGCTGGTGAGATAGCTCAGCAGACTAAGTGCCTGCTTAGGCAAGTGCAGGGAACAGAGTTCAATCCCTGGCACCACTTGCCATGCCTGCCCTACCCATGAGTGCACTGAGCTGGCCAGTGTCTAGAGACCTAGAGTGTCGGCACTCGCCTGTAATCCCAGCTCTGGGGAGGCTGAAAACAGAAAGATCCCTAGGAATCCGAGCTGCATAGGGAGACCCTGTACCAAATACACAAACAGAGAGAGAGAGAGAGAGAGAGAGAGAGAGAGAGAGAGAGAGAGAGAGAGAGATTCTAGTTCTACCTACATATTGTAGAATGTCTGGATATTGGTTTTGTGGTACCCAGAAAGTCCAGAGCAGGAAGCCTGTTAGCTGTATAAATATGACCCTAACTAAGCTACATCCTCTGGTCCCCAGTTTACTTAACCTAAAGTCTCCTCTAGTTTTAAAATCCTACAATCCTGAGCCTCCTGGTTGTCAACATAACCTTGACCACTGCTGTTTTTCTCAGATGTCCTAGTGCAAGAGAAACCTGAAAACATGACACAAACTGAAAAGAGCTGCCATGAACCAAAAGGTTAGTTCAAATAAAAGGGTGGAGTTCATAATTGAAGGTTAAGGCACAGTAGTTGTAAACTGAGACTAAAGAGAACTAGATTTCAAAAAAAAAAAAAAAGCCAGAAACCACACTGAGCCCAGCTGGTCCCCTTCAGTCCCTGACTGTCCCAGCAGAGCTCAGCTGGCTGCAAACATGTTTCCAAAGCTTGCTCCCCAAGTGCAAGAAGCAGCCCCAGGTCTCTGAGTGCACCTGGTACAAGCTGGGTGTCCCAGGAAAATCATGGTGATTGTGGGGCAGGCTGATCACAGTGTTGTAAGCCCGATCTTTAAAAAGGAATTTGATCTCTCCCTGAATTTACCATCTGCACTCTTGTTCAACCATAGTTTACACCCCGAAGATGAACATGATGTCTCTCACAGTACTGGGGCTGCGGATGCTGTTTGTCAAGAGTGTTGCCATTAATTTTGTCTTAACTGCCAAGTTATTCTTCCTTTAAGGTAAGAATTAGCTGCTACTTCATCCTAGATCCATCCAAACTATGCTGTGCATAGGGAAAAGAGGTTTAGAAATGGTAAGAAACCAAAAAGCATTTGGAAGAGAAAAAAATGCATGGAGACACATTTAGAATTAATAAGGTGGGCTATCTCAGACATAACGCCCCACATCCTGTTATTCTTTTATGTGAAGCCAGATGCAAAGCCCATTACGTACAAGGTAATCTCTTTCTAATATACTAGGTAATAACCACCTCTTCTAGCCCAAGGAGAAAACCAAAACTAAATAAGGAGAATTAGTCTTTTTAACAGTTTTTTTGTTTATTTGGCTAAGGGACCATGGGTTATTTGCAAGACCATAAACAAAACTTTGCCAGGAAAACAGTCAGGAGAAGCAGAACCCATCTTTGTCTGGATAAAGAGAATGCCAGATCCCATTCCTTAAACATAAGGTCTTGACTTGTGGACCAGCCTGTCCTGGGGCTGATCTCACGTCCCCATACTTAGGATGCATACAAAGATGGACAGAGGTATTGATTATTTTCCTGTTACTTGTATTCCACTTTTTGATAATGTTATACACAGAATTCAAACCAGGGCCTATGAACCTCCTCACTCTTATTCCCTTCCAAATGACCCCAAAAACCCATCCTATTCTATAGATACTCTATAACAGAGTACCAGACTTACCAACCCGAACTGTAAACATACTCAGTCTCCCCGCAGTGGGTGTCCAGCTCCCCCTAACACTTTACTGACAGTGTCAAGAGCACAGGCAGCACGGCTGTACAAGTAGTGCTATGCAAGAAGTCAGAGGGGCACATTTTCATCTTGACTTTGTCATCAGCTCCCTCGGCTACCTTAGCCAGGTTGCTTCTCTTCTTTCAGCTGAGTTTAAGAAAAACTACGGGACAGCGAATGGGTTTCATGATTTGTGCCAGAATAACTGAATTATTGCCTTGTGTACAAGGGGCGGGAGCCACAGTTGATCCGTGCAGTCTACAATGGCACAGTACAGTCAGTGCTGGCCATCCCAAGCCACATCAGCTCCACAGATAGTTCCTAGCCTTTAATCTGTGATCCTGTAATGACTTTCCTTCACTTGCAGACCAACCGGCATGAGGAAGCTACGCCCGCTGACAGCAGTCAAAAGCTTAAAAGATGCTGTCTCGCAGGCCTCTGATTTATTGACAACTCAAGTCCACCTGTCACTGCCTTATTTACATCAGTTTCCCTCTGAAAACAACAAACCAAGCTCATCCTCCAGTGTGACAGAAAAACAAGTACCCTGGGCCATGGGGGTTACGCTCCTAGCTTGTTTATGTGCTGTAGGCTTACAAAGGGATAGATGGACACAAAAATGTAGCACGCATTTTATTTTACTCATACAGCTCTTACACACTGAAAAATAATACATTATTTTTCACTTTCTTTCTCTCCAGAAGCAGAAAGTGAGAACTAATGGATCCCTGCTCCATTCTCTATGAGGAAAGTTGGCCCTGACAGGAGGAGAGCAGGTGTCCTTTTGCCCACACTGACAGGTTCAGCCCAACACAAAGCTAGATCCAGCCAGAAGCCATCCTCATCCTCCTCTCCAGTGGCTCGTCCCACCCTCGTTCATTCCAGCGGCCACACTAGAGATGTCAGAGGGCGATGCAGGGGAGAGGGACAATGTCAGCACTTTCTGCTTTTCCTAGTACTTTAAAAAATTATGTATCATTGCCCTAACTCTCCAAACAGGCAATGGGGTTTCTCATTTCTCATCTAAGCACTGTCCATTCTATTAGCAAAGATCAGAGTTAAATACAGAGGAAAGGCATTTGTTTCTATTAATTACTTTAGCATGCCTGGACTGACCCTGAGTCCCAGACTCTGCACTGTGGGCACAAAGATGAGTAGGAGCTGGGTCCTCCTTTCCAACAGCTCACCATGCAAGCATTTTTAGAGGAAGGGAGAGAAATGAAAGCTTTCCCTGTAGAAACAATATCTTTCCTATCATTTGCCTACCAGACTGTAGACAGGGAGCTAGAGATCCTTGGACACTGACTCTTTGGCTTGGGTCTCTGATGTCGAAGGTTGTGGCCTTCTTTCTCAGCCTTTATCTCTGTTACATTTATTAAACCACACTGTGTGCACCTTGCCTCTGGCTGTACTCATTGCGGACCACCGTGGGAGGGAAGTTGCTCTGTGAACTCATATTAGTCAGTCAAAAGCCACATTGAGCTTCTAGGTCACATCATTGCGGCTTCCTGGGCCCCAAGCCCGAGGCTCCCGCCAGGGGACACAGCTCTGCCTTCCTGCTGCTGCAGCTGCTACTATTAGGGTAACAAACAGCAGCTGGAGCCTGTGACTCTACCTCAGCAAGGCCACAACTCTCCGCAGGGGCCCCTGCCTGGGCAGCGGAGCCCTAGCAACACCACACTGTGGTTTCCTTAGCTCCCAGGGGGTGACAAGCAGGGGGCTATGACATTACAAGTGAGAAAGTGGCTCTCACAAATTCCCCTGCCACTACTGACTACAAACTCCCATATAGCGTCTTCACAACCTGGTAAAAGCAGGCAGCACCTCTATGAATGAATGCTAGGTTTAGGGAAATCGACATGGAGACGCCAGCTCTACCCAGGGAAAATAATTCCACCCAACTTCATCGTGCATGTATAAAGAATGCCTGGTTCTCAAATATTGGCTTCTGTTCCCTTTTGTATGTCAGAATGTTTCTGTGAAAATCCTAGAAATGAAAAGATTTTTATTTCAGGTAGAAAAAGTTGTCCCCTCTCAAAAACCATGTCTAAAATTATTCATTGAGGTAGGAATATTGCCAGAAACAGGACCAAGGCCTTAAGGGTATCGGGCCAGATTTCCTGCTCTAAGAGCACACTGCATCTCCAACATAAAGACAGTGCCAGGCAGCGGACCATCCTGAAGTCTGCAGCGAAGATGCTCCCTTCTGCCTAGATGCCAGCAGTCAGCATCCTAGCACAGTGGAGGACCATTAGCTTCTCCCACCAAAAGGAGCTTCCAGAAAAAGATTTAAGCCAGGAGCAGTGGGAGATTTGGCTTCCTTCAGATCTGGGACCATTACACATGAGCCCGTGTGTGGCTGGTGGTGGGACAGAAGTTCCAGGAGTCTGGGATATTGGCCCAAGTCCCATGGCTCCCTCACCCTGTGGTCTTTCCTTTGCTCCATATGGCAGCTACTCTCCAACCAGTTTCAGAAAGGAGCAGATTACTGGGGATTGAACCCTGGACCTCCACGCTGAGCTACATCTCCAGTTCATTTTTTTTTTTTCTTTTGTTTTTTAAAGTTTCAGGCAGGGTTTCACTAAGTTCCCAGGCTGGGCTCGAAGGTAGAATCTTCCCACCTCAGGCCACCAGAATGCTGGTGTTACAGGTGTGCACCCAGAGGCCAAGATGCACCATGGCTTCTGATGTGAAGATAAGCTGCTGCCCCAACTGCCTATGGATAAGACCTTGGGGTGCACAGCCAGGAGCACCATGGAAGGGCAGTGCCAAACCTCTGCCTCTGGCCCTAAGGAGCTGTGAGACTCGCAGTCTACCCTTCTTCACTTTCCTGGGCTTCAGTGTGTTTCCTGTAAAACAGTGCTAATGCCACTTCTAAGACTGTGAAAATAACTCTAATAGTCTGTGAGGGCAGAGAAATCAGCAGAAATAGAAGGAAGGGTGGAGTCCGAGGGACCAAGGCCCTCTGCTTCAGCAATGTCCTTCAGCCTCCTCTGGAGGAAATGACCTCTCTTGTGACACACTGCTCTCCAAACATGAGGCCTGGAGAACTGGGGTTCTGCGATTTAGACCCCTAGCTAGGCATGCCTCGATAGCCTTCAGTCAAAGGAAAATGTTCTCCACATGAAGTAAGCAAAGCGGAGGTATCAGAGAGTATCCAGGAGAAATAAGGTAACTACATAGTAAGGTGCAAACCAAAGGCAAATTAGAGAATATTCTTTTTAATTTTTAATTGTTTTAAGTTCCTAACTTTGTGTCCAACTTGATTTTAAAAATGAAAGCAGGTACATTAATGAATAAATGATGCTGGAGATTAAAATAAAGACCCTGCTGGTGGCCACTCCCACGATTGGCCCTCCACCTACACCACTCTGATACCCTCGTGGCTAACATAGCCCAGAGGTAGGGACACAAAGACAGTCCACACTCAGCCCTGCAGTCCTCACTGCCAACCACAAGGCACTCAGGTGGCAAGGGCGCCCCCACCTCTGGGTCAGAAGTGAGAAATACCCCACTCTTTGGAAGCCAGAGTATTCCTGGACATGAGTGGGTTTCTGATTAGTCAGTAGTCACTTCAGGGCACTTCTTAAGGCTCCTGATGGCTGAGAGAAGGAAACCAGGTCCAGGACATGACCTCCCCAGGTGGTGGCTCTGCCAAGCTGTGCCAGGGGTTTGTGTGCAGACTCCCCACGCACCTGCAGCATCGTGGGGAGTTAAAGCGCAGTAGTAAGTTGCCTTGTCTTCAGTCCTCACCGGGGAGATGACCAAGTGGAAAGTTTTATGAGTCTTACTATGTTTCACAGAAAATCGACCTTGAACAAAATCTGCATCACGAGATACACTGTTATCCCTGTAAAGGATGAACTGCAAGGGCTGACCCGCCACTTCCCGGTACCAGTATAAATCTGGATTCGAGTACCCAGTACTGTAAGTGCAGAGCAGCATTGTCTCACTGCCAATTGTCACTGTCTGGTATGGGGGACTCTGGGTCACCTCATCACATAGTGTGCCCTTACCTGTGAAGACAGAAAAAGAAAATAAGGACTGAGCCCAGCACAGAGGAACTCAGGGGGAGAGAAAAGAAAATGACAAAATATGAAAGGTTAAAGCAGAGAATGACTGAAAAATCATGCATACAAGAGAGAGGCCAGCTCTTCAAACTCAGAGAAAGGAAAATGGGGGTAGAGAAAGGAGACTCGGGTACAGAGCAAGAGCGAGGTCAACAAGTGAATCCACTTACAGAAAAACAAAAGGCCAACGCCCAAGACAAGAATCATCTTTCTTTTATACCAGGGCAGAAGATATAGAGTAAAACGGGGTGTCTGAAGTCTCTGAGGCCACCTAATGGCTTCTGACAGGAAGGAGACAAAAGGGCAATGAGGGGAAGCGGCAGCCTGGGCAGTCACGTGACTGCTTTCAGATGAAACGCTTCCACAGATGTCTCCAATGAGGAAATTTCAAGTTACGGTGATGTTGGTTTGTCAGAAAATAATATTTTTAACAATGAAAATGAATTAATTCTGAAAAGAGGAAGGAAGGATGAAAAGAAGGGAAGAAGAAAGGGAGCAAGAGAGCTTGGATCTCCTAGTACTATGAGAGCAATTTGCTCTGTGTCTGTGTGTCCTCTGGTCACAGCCTACTGTATCCCTCCCCAGTCACACTAAAGCAATCCTGTCCCCTAGCACTTAGCATAGCTACATGCACTTGTGGACCTCCATGAATGTAATATTTGAATGAGTAACTCTGTAGTATTTAACAAATTCAATAAATGAGTCAATTTCTGGGTAAAGAAGGAGGGAAGAGGGTTGGGCAAGATTGTTTGTAAACTCTATCCTAACCTTGAATTCAAGAAATCTTTGATTTCAGACCCTTGAGGAACGCATTTCGATAGTGCGACTCCCCATCTCTCTTTGGGCCCTACAGCACACACTTGGCTTCCACTGCAAGACTCTTCCCCAAAGCAGAGCTTACTGGTGGGTGAACTGCCAAGAGTGGGTTATAAGTCTGCTGAGATAGAGCTCAGAAGGGCTGTGCATGTCTGGGGTGGCCAGAGCCCCTGCACCAGTCCTCCCCCCGGCCACATGCCATAGAAATAGGATTTTCCAAGGCCTAACATTTGGGAAGCATTACTCTCAAGGAGAGCACTAAGTCATTCCCCCAAGCCTGGGAATGTCTATAAAAGCTCCTTTGTCTCCCCTTTTCTGTACAGCCAGCTCATCAATAAGACCTGTCTCTTCCACCATAAAAATACATCTCCAGTCCACCACTTCTCCAGCCTGCACTGCCACCACCTCCTGTAAACATCATCGTCTCTTGCAAGGACCACTGCAAGAGCTCCCTAGCTGGGCCCTTACTCCTGCTCTTGTCACTAGAAAACCCACCCTCCAGGTCTCTCTAAAAGGTAGATTGCACGATGCCATCTAATCCTCCCCCCTCTTCTCCAGATGCGCTAATACCTGCTTTTCACCCTCACTCCCTTTCCACTGCAGCTGTCTCCTTTCTGGTCCTCCATCAGCTCACTTTTTAAGTTGTCTAAAATTCTGGTCCCAGTTTTTCACAAATCTCAGCTCAAACACACTGGGCCCTCCAACTAAGTGCTTCCCGGCCTCACCTTCATCAACCTCAATTACTTACCTGCTCATATTTCTCCCTCTTGTCATCATCTGAAATCACTAGATTTATGCATCTATTCCTTTTTCCTTTCAACTTTCCCAACACACACACACACACACACACACACACACACACACACACACACACACACACAGAGAGCATTACAGAAGCTTCAGTAATTTAAAGGTTTTATCTCTTCACTGAACATCCCCAGCCCCTGGGCTTATGTCTGCCACATAATAGATAATCGATACATGTTTGTGCTATAAAGGAAAGCAACTCTTTGCACTCAAAAATTCACCACTGGCACAGATAAGATCACTGTATCTCGCAAATTAAAGTACAGCATGTCCAGTCAAATGTACACTTCAAAAAAAAATGGTTTTAAAGAATATTTGTATCATGCCATATTGTGGCATAATTACACTAAAAAGTATTCATTGTTTACGTGGAATTCAAATTTCATGGGACCCAGTGTAGTTTATCTGGCAAATCTAGGCATGGAGAACTCCAAAAGCAGATATCACATGGGCTGAAGTCCTAATATGAGCATCCCCAGGCCCCCTGGACATGGAAGAAAGCGACTCAGGACAAAGGGTCAGCCACACCTAGGCAGAGGCTGCTAGTGTGTGGGTCCTTTCCAGGTCTCCCAAGCCATGGACTCTTCTCAGTCCCTATCCAGGCTGCTACTTATACCAGGCCGAGGGCTCCCTTTCCTATCTGGGCAGGCAGACCTCAAGCTGAACT